CGGTGCCTTCTCTAATTAACTGGTGAGAGTAACGATCGATACAGTCGAGCAAATCCGTTAGCTGAAAGATCTTATTGATTGACAAAACACAGTACATCGAGCGGTAATGACGATCGCCAAAAATTGAGCAAGTCTGTTGGCAATTAATAATAGTCAAAGTACACCATATCCAGCGACAATGATGATCGTCAAAATTTAAGCAAATCTGTAGGCAGGTATGGGTAGGCGTGTCCAGGCTCACAACATATTCGTCGTTTCTTGATATCATAAATAGGGTACACCCACCGAATTGCGCCTATAGTTGTTGAGTCTTTATAAACTAGACCCTGTCCCTTCAGAAAGCAAACAAAGTGGCATTTATTTAACGAACTTGTAAGTGAGTATTTGAAGACGCTTTTAGGGTCCATGGCAAACAGCAACCGGTCATTTATACAGTTAGCTTAAAATATCAAAGGATTATAGGGAAAGGTCCCAGTTCAGAGAATGACCTGATTAATAAGTAAAATAAGGTTTATAAATATATAACTTTATTTTACTTATATACTATAAATATTCAGCAGTAATAACGACAAAGAAACGAGGCGTTAGGGCGTGGCATTAAATATATTGTTCTGGCTATTTACGTATATATTGATACATTTTAGTATTACGAATTTTGATTCGACCCACATCACGTGTTATTCTTTTACTAAAACTTGCAATAACACCCTTGCAATATACCCTTCCGTAGTATCATTGCACAAGGCTTACATTTTTGAGAGTAGTTTTAAAACGCTTACATTTATTGAAGAATATTGTAAGTAATTTCATTTTCAGTTGAAAAAATGTTTTTAACTCCTGAATTTAAAGTTAAGAGCGGTGGTAGCGCAGCAGAAAAACGGTTGAGAGGTCGGAGGTGAAAAAATTGAGAGGTCGATAGTTCCAGTCTCTGTGGTTTCATGTAACTTTATTATTTAAGTTATTTGTGAATAGTTAGTATCAATAATTTTCGCTAAAGATGAAAAAAAAACATCGTGATGAAACCAACACGAGGAAGGCTTACAAACCTTGGAAAACGTGTGAAGAGTCCTGTGTTCAGCAGTGGGGTATAATAGGTTGACGATGATTTACCAGCTGTCACGTAAATAAATAGTTTGTGTTTATCACTAATATCAGGTTTCTTACCACGGTATGACTTCTTTTTATTTTCCCGATATTTCCGAACGGTTGCACGCTCCATGGTCACGGGTTGACTGGACGGCGGCAGATGACAGCTTTAAGAGCAGACATATCTGTCTACCCTCTTGCGCTGTCGACGACTACCTTCGTCGCGATTTGTTGTGGTGTTACCATTGTCACTCACTTTTTTCACTCAAACCACACTCACTGTATCCACACGCGAAACTGAACTCGAGGTGTTTTTGTTTTTATTACTGCACGCACTAAGGACCGGATTCCATGCACTGGATAGTTTAAAAGCATCATCACGGTTAAATGTTTTGTACTTCGTGATCTCGATGGCTTCTCGTACCAACCATGGAGCGTGCAACCGTTCCGAAATATCGGGAAAATGAAAAGATGTCATACCGTGGTAAGAAACCTTATATTAGCGATAATCATTTAGTGAATAACCACGAAAGTCTTAAAATCTAAATAGTTTGTGTATTTGAGAACGCTGTACTATTTATTTTAGTAGTAATTGTTAATAGTTTGTAAACCTTACCTTTGTACATAATAATATTAGTAATACACGTTAGTTGCAAAACTAACTAAAAATATATGGTTTCTCAGTTCTCACAGAGTACATGCCAAAACCTGGGAAACGAGAGAGAGATGACAGAGGAAGGAAGAGGGCAAGATGACAAGAGAAGAAAGAGAATGGGAGTAAGCAAAAACAGTAATTGCGTAGTTAGTAAAAAGCTTGAGTTCAATGTGGAAAGTTCAAAGATTGAGTATCGATATATGTATGATTGCTTTAATATCTCTTACGAAAGTAACAAAGAGAACGATTAAGGGAATCACCACACTTATGGCGTATTTACATAGGGTTGATTGCCGCCTTCGGCAGATTACTTCGCCTTGCTAAGGGAGGCGTAGCAATTCGAGAAAGTCGCTTGCCGCTTTCGCCCAAATAGCTAAGTCCAAATCCCTTCATTCACGTAGTTAGGTATACCCCGGTCCCCAGCACGTTGAAACTTGTTTGGTAGATCGTCTACTGCCGGAAACAGTCACCACACCTTCTTGACTCGGTCGATTTCGGCAGCGAGCTACGGTCGTCAAACAACTTAAGTGTTTATACTGGGTAAGCTGCCGGAGGGCAGGGAATAGGAATGGATCTGTCAACCTAGTGTAAATGCGCCATTATCGACGCAGAATCGGCTGCAGCTCGTGAGAAAAAAGCTTCATATCCTCCAATAGGAGCGAAAGGGATGTCGTCGATAACGGACGATTTGACTCGACTCAGTCAAAACGTACGACGCTCTTCTTGCAAGGATATAAACTTTTTTTCTGTCGTCAAACTGAGAAGCGCGGTGGCTCTCTAAAAAAACATCGGAAAAAACCGGCATGTTACCCGGCACGATTCTGAAGTCTTTGAAATCAAGCGAAATCCATAGTCCCCAATTTATCTATGTTGTAGACTAATTTTGAGTGGACCATTGGCCAATAGTGGGACGTATCTACAACGTTATAGAATACAACCAAAAGCAATAACCGTTACATGTAGCTACTATCAAATAAAACGATCACGTCTTCCAATATCTTGTATCAATTTGCTTTATTTTTTACAATCCTTTTACCTTAGAATGTCTCCTTGCTTCTTCCATCAACCAAACACCAATATCATCGATACAGCTGGAAAAATTCGCAACCAAGTTATTGTACCTTAAAGATGACACTATAGACTGAAAAAATAAGTTGGTAACATCGTACATCTCAGCCTGGAATATTTATTGATATAGTGCGGAAGGGACTGGATTCTCGAATGCTTTACAAGTATGATCGTCTTTTGTTCTTATTGATTACTCAATGTACTGTTTTATCTATTGTTTCATGTAATCTACCGTAGAATCTAGCCAATTCCAAAAGTGTTTCGTTTTGAACGAATCATTATTTTTCTTAATGGATTGAAGGTCAGCTTACTTGGTCAACGTATCAATATAGTCATGATAGGGTGAGCGCATTAAGCATTTTCGGCGCTCTGTCAGGGACACTAAATTTTATCCATTTAATTTTGCGTCATTCCTTTTTTCGACCTCATAAGGTCGTGGTCATCTATTTGCCAAGTTTTATTGAAATGTTACCGGAAAGTGCGCGAAACCGAATTTATCCCCTAGTTTGCCACCGATAGAGGTGAAATATTTTCTTCAAATTTAAATGGGACTACTACTGAGGTGCCCTTTTTCCAACAAAAAAGAATTACCAAAATCGGCTCACAATTTTTTCCGGAGTTATCGCGTAACATGTATAAAAAAACATACAGTCGAATTGATAACCATCCAAATAAGGAGGACCTTTTTTGAAAAATAAAATGCAGTCAGATATTGAATACGTTTCGCCCGCATATAAAGAGGAGGTGTAATATTTGCCTAAAATGTCAACCTAAACGAAGTCACTGTTTTTAACATTTTTTAATACAGTTTATTTCTACATCTAAGTGCTTACGTAATGAAATTGTTAATCGCAAGTTTGCACGCTGCCTTAAGCGCTATTTACAGCAGCTTTGCAACATCTTCTTAAAATTAGCTTTAAGATGTTATTAAGTTGCACTGGCTGTAATTTTGTGTCATAACCAATTTTATGAGGTTAAATGTCTCCAGTCGTGTTATATGACATTTTCTACTCAACTTCTATACACATCTAGATTACCCATTTATTTGATTCTTGCATGGAAATAGAATGTGGAAAAGTTTAAAAACAGTAAGTATTTATCTCACCGATGCGATGGAAATTCCGTGCTAAGCCCTTTTCAGTGGCACATTTCCTTGAACTTTATACCATTTACAAAAAAAAGACGTTTCCAATCCCAGCGGCTTTTCATTGTGCTTATATGTTTGTATATTGTGACGCAGAAGAGAATGACGAGTTATACTCTAGCTTTATAGTAGAATTTTAGAGAACAACATACATAACGTTTGTTTTCGTTTGTTTAACATTTCTCGCAATCTTCGGATTTTCGAAGGCACTTGAATTTCCATGTCTTGTAATTATTAGATTTATCACCTATAATGTTTTGATTTCCATGTAAACTATACAGGGTGTAATCGTTAATTATTCCATAAATATTAAAGATGTCAAACCTTTAAACTGATATCTAATGAGTAAAAGGACATCAATAACTTTTTTGAAATAAAACAAGAAATATCCCAAATTTTAAAGTTAAATGCTCCCATACATTTAATATGACAATTTGTAGAGAGGATTTAGTTTCGACAACCGCAATGAATACCAAATTTTGTACTTTCGAAAAAAATAAACAAAAAAGTAAAAAAAGTAAACATAACCTTTGCTTTTATTGAAATGAAAGATAGTTTTATTTATAGCAGTTTCTTTTTTCGAATGCCATATTAAGTAACTGTATGGAAGCGTTTTATGTTAAACTGTGGATATTTCTCGTTTTATTTTTAAAACATTATTGATGTCGTTGTACTCATTGAGTAACGTACTTTCGATATCAGTTTAAGAATTTTTGTGTCGCTTACATTTACGGAATCGCCTGGGCACACTTAATCATTACAACCTGTATAGTTCTATGACAGTGTTTCCTTTTTTATAATAACGTTTACTCCTTAACAATATATCCAACAAATAAGGAGTAGTAACGTCCGGTCTGCATCAAGTGCAAAGGGCAATTGATAGAAATCCGACGAGCCTCGAAACACCAAGATTGCCGAGAGATATTAAGAGATTAGTAATTTCAAATGATTACCATTTCGGATGTAAAATTAATAAAAAGTTTTGTACTAAAAAAAGTTAATTTATATTTTTTTAAGTTAAGTTATAACTTTATTTCTCTTTTACAGGTTCTCCGACAAACGACGCTGCCGATCGTGCCGACCCGTCATCAGACCTTCCAAAGACAACTGTCTCACCGTTTGGATCTACCTTCCATTCAATTCAGTATCTGCAGTTTGGAGCGTGCTGATTCTTCTATTGGACTTATTAAGGTAGGATTAATTAAACTAAAATATTAAAAAACCTCTATACAAAACAGCGTATTCCAAACAATCAAGAAACATACCATCTGTAAGATACCAACTCATAGAGACCAATAACTCTTCTTCTTTTTGTTATCATATCGTAGTGAAAGGATGTGCAAAGGTTGCCCAGAGCGCACCATTCTTTTTTTTTATGATACCAAGTGATGGAACGAACAAGTCGTGCGCCTGGTGGTAAACGACACACCTGTTCATAACTATTGCAATATTCATAAAATCACAAAGATCTGAGGGGCATTGCCATTGTGCCCGACACCTTGGTACATAAATTGATAAGTCTCATAATTTCACCGGTATCCTTACTCTGCAAAACCGGAACGTAGTTACCCACATTACTGCTTGGCGCAGAAATAGATAAGACGTAACAGGAAAGGAATGGTACGTCGTGCGGGGAGGCTCCTTTCGTACACCCACCACGGAGATCAATTTAATGAATCTTAGTATGCTAAGTTTCATTATAAGTAGTTAAGGAATTGAGAAGTCCGCAATGTGCAGCCTAGAGCTGGCGAAATTAAAGAGAAGGTCCTCATAAAATTTATTATAAGAAGAGGTTAAAAGAACAAAAGAAAGGCTGTAAAAAAAGAATACACTGATATAAAAACAGGTACAGTAGTATGAAAAACACTCCCTACAGAATAAACAGAACATAAAGTGGACTTATCCTAAATGGCGGCCGAAAAAGCCGCAATAATTCCAGTTATTGTCGAATAGCGTACACTTAAATTTAAAACTTATTCCAACACGTTATAGTTTAATTTGCTTTAACGTCAGAATCGTTGCCAGACGTAAAACTTTCTTAAAATAATGTAACAAAATTATTATAATAGCAAATTAATACAAAATATGGTTATTTTTTATTTATTTATTTATTTATTAAAGGACATCCAACAATTTTGTAAATCTTAACGATAAATAGTGTTACATATGTATCTATATTTAATTGGGTGTTTCTTTCTTATAGGACTACGTAACAAATGTATGAGAAGGTCATGGTAATTCGTAGGTAATTAAAATAGCAACACTTACTTTGTATTATATATTATAATACAACATTTATTTTAGGCTGCCCGCTGCTATACTTTCGTATCGCAACGGGCAGCTTAAACTGTAAAATTATTTTAAAAGCTATGGTTATTTTATGTGTAGAATAAGATATCCAGTGAAATGAAGTGAACTAGTATCTTGTATCCTAATAAGTGTTGTGTTTAAATGTCGCCAAGTGCCTTTTTAACGGGAAAAGAAATTTGTTGTTAAAGTAAGTGTTTTTTATTTTTCAAAAAGTTAAGGCTTCAACTTTACCAAGGAAAATTTTCACGCCTACATACTTAGGCAAACATTTCAAACTTGTATTTGAGTTTTTGCGTCAGAGGTTAAAGTAGTTTATTTGGTAACTTAGCCTTTTAACATGCAAATTATGACAAAACGATAACAAAAAAATAAGGCATGATAAAACGCAAAATACAAACCATTACATTTCAAATGTTACGCTCTCCACTCGGCTTTTTGTCACGAGACGTTGGAGGATGCCTCGTTACACGGGTTTCACTGAAGTCGGATAGCATTCGATATAACTATCTACTTCCCCAAGGCTTAGTCAATAATTTACCGTTTTTCTTTTGCTCGTAAACACTAAAGAAGACATTTCTCGATAAAGAAGCAATGGACACACATTTAAAAGCAACTTTGTTGTAACTGTAGGATACTAACTTTTGTACTATTGTTACCTCACATAAAATTTTACGGATTACATTTTTATTGCCACTACACGATTCGTCTATATTAAAACACAATATAGTGTAGTTGCATATTTAAGTATAACAAGACAAGTAGTGCTCCATACTGTGTGTGGCTTGTATGTGTGCACGCCCGTCGCGTGCCGTATACGAACGCACACATTCACATAATTTCGAGGAGCACTTGCGTTGCATAGCGCGGGGTATCGCACACAAATTATAGGTGTTTAAAATACTTGAAACGTTTTACTGTGTAATATTTGTATTATACACACTAGTATTTCGTTTTTATTTTTTGATCATTCTCCCATAATCGGGATGCTGGTATAAAAATATCAATATGTAAATACTGTTTTTGGCAAAGGTTATGTTAATATAGCTCAAGAACAGTGTGATGAATAGGTACTATTTTATTTTTCTAATTACGTTTTGCAACCTGTAGGTACAACCAAAATAATAAGTTACATTACTTTTCTTATTACACTATCACATCATCGGGCATCGAGTATATAACCAGAAATAGAGACGAAATGTCATTTAAATTGTTTGAAAAGTATTCTGCCAAATCATTACTGTGACAACTGCGCTCCGATTGGCCAGCCCGAAGTCGTAACAATTGACGGGTGTCGTCAATTGTTTCACTCCAAATCGAACAGCTTAACTTGAGCTTTGCTATGATGGACGAAAATTGCAAAATTATATGTTTGATTAAATTTTTATTGAATTGATATTCAATTATTTTTTGTGAAATTACTCCACTAGTTTGTTATAATT